CTCGACGCGAGTGCGGTCCTCTCCGCACTGAATGAGCTCTCCTCCCGGATCAGCAAGGCGCAGAACGATCCCCGAAGGAGGACTTCGACGACCTCGGGACTTCCTTGACGCGTGCTGCTAGAGACACAGTCAGTATACGCCGCTTTGGTGGACGTGGTAGGACCCCAGTAGTAGCACCCACAACGGGCTTGATCTATGGCACAGCCACCATACTTTCTTCCAACCTCATGCTCGTTCTTGAGCAGGTATGCCGAGCGAAGCCGAGAATTTGAAATACATGATCCGCCAGCCGCTCTATCGCGTCGTACTCCCCCAAGCCCAGGATATAAAAGGAAAGATCACATGATTGTTTACCCCTGAGTTCACATGATCTATTACTCTGTTACAACATTGACTACCGCCCTAGGATTTGGGAGTTCGACGCGATACGAGCGGCTGGTTAAGGAGCCTGCGCCAAGCGCCGCATTCCGACTCCCCCGGGGGGGGGGGTCATGGGAAAGCGGTTGATCGGGCCGGATAACGATCGATCGGCGATCGATCGGCCAGTGAAGCCAGATACAATGTAGCGCAATGTATACGCGCGAATGATAGGAAATAATATGGGATGTAGGCTTGTGCCTATTTTGGCTGGCGCAATCAGGTTTATCTACAGTACAATCAGCAGTAGCTCTGATTCATGAAGGTGAGCTCCCATGTCCGCTACTAATTGGATCACAAGAAAGCGCATTAGACTGAAAATAGTTCGTATGGTCTTTACAGTACTATTACCTATCGAAGCCAAGGAAAAGATGCAAACGTTCGATATTTCACTATACGTGTATACTAAACTTGAACGTAGAAAAGCATATGAATAGCTGCACCATGCGCTTCATCGAGTGGAACATCCATGGACTCTCGCATGCTTTTCTCTGATGCCATCCCATCCTGATACCATGGAACTCCTTCCCCATCAATGTATCTGGCAACGAAGTGATTAGGTTTGTAGTAAACCGCACCTCGGAGGCGCCACTCTATATTCGGACAACGATCTGGTATTGTCATAGTTTTCTCTACCGATGTTTTCACTGGAGACGAGTCAGGTAGACAGATAATCATGACTCCAGGAGGGGTTTGAATGCTGATGGTATCAATAATCGAGTGACGGCATGAAGAGCAGATCTTGCTAGTATTATATTTATGGGTGAGCAGTCGTATCCACTGTGAGCTGCTAATCTTAGTAACTGTCTCTTCTGCGCCAAAATGCAGTCCTACTGAGTTTTTATATGTATCCTCACCAACATGCCAGATGCCGGTAGTGATTCTCTTCTGAGTCATTAATCCACAGCAAGATCTTGTCAACAAGGAATTTTTACGCTTCTTTTGAGCAAAAAATGAAGCCACCGCTGCCGCAGATGAGTACACGTGACCATACCTCGGAAACTGTTCAATATTTACGGAAGATAGGTGATCTCTGATACATTCTCGTGTTTCTTCCATATTGCTGACAGTATGTAGAGATGAAGACGAAGCTGCTTTTCTTCTCAAAATCTTCGAGATGTCATTACTTGGCATCAATTGCTTAAACGCGGATTTTCCTAGATCAACACAGAGGTTGTACAGAATAAAAATAACACTATCATATGCACAACTGTAGTTCTCAGAATCCCATCGACATCCTATTGGTTGAAAATGGGTCATAGCGGTTGCATCATGGCTCTTGATACGAGGTCGTTTGGGGCTTGATTGAATATTCTCTCCGGAGTCAGGTATTTTTCGTTTAGTTCCACCGGTATTACAGCCCATATCCACCTCTTGGGGAGGTAGTTTTCGTTGTTTCTTCGATTATCCTGATAGTAATCCCGAGACTCGGGCTCCTTCCTTTTTGGATTCTCATTCGGTGAAGCTCCGTTTAATCCGCTATCTCCGTAATGGTCAGCCCGATCCGATTTCTCGGGTAGTTTGGTTTTTCCATCCCAAAATGTGCCATTTTCGGTGACCCAGTTCTGTAGATCCTCGGGAAGTCTCAGATCGTCTTTATCCCATGAGGTCCAGTCTAGTTTAGAGTGTACGTTCTCAGGCACACATCTCTTCCCGTATACACGTTCGTAGGATTTTATCAAGTCAAGCCTCGTCTCTCCACGAACTTCCCTATGTAGCATGCCTTTATGGCGAAGGTATCCGATATGATCCAAGATCTCTAATTCACGGAATTCTGCTCGGATGTGACCTGGAGCGCCGCCTTTGAGAATATCTTCCTTAAATGGCTGTATTATGATCGTCGAACTTAGGGATGTGCCTCTAGATAAACATGTATATGCGGATTGAAATCCACTGCAGTTGTACAAGTCAACAGGATTAATTGGACGAGTGCGACCTTGAGACTGAAAGTCAGTCATTGCAAAGTTGAGTAAAACCTGCACCTGTCTCCTCTCGATACGCAAGTTGTCATTTTTGTCTAGTAAGTCACACTTGACGGTACGTGTAGCCGCAACGATTGGGATGACGTTCTTAGGAAGTCCTGGTAGCCTCTGCACTCGAGGTGGATTCTGCAACTTTACGAATATAGTATCCAGGTATCGATGTCCATCACTTGATGGTGCCTCCTTCCATCCAACCACTACGGCCTCTGCCCCATTTGTGGCGCACAGCTCTGTGGCCTCGTTATACTTCAGCATGACAGGCATACCCAAGCATATGCTGAGAAATCCGGCGTGCTGACCAGTGGCGCAGGGGGGTAAGTCCCATACCATCTGTTGTATATCGGGACTCAGCGTATTACTCTTTCTTATGGGGTCCAATGCGCGATTATGTGCTTTCTGGGTTTTTCTTACAGAGATAAACTCTTGTGTTCTTGCGTATTTGTCCCTAGATCTGAACGTCACCAACTCTTGATTGCTGTCAGTTGCAAACCTAATAGCACCCATCTCATTGATTTTGTCTCTGTGTGCGTTTCTGGGAGTTACTATAGGCACTCCACGGTATTTTATATCAGTCAATTTTGGTTGGTGAGGCAGTGGACCAGCAATGCGACTTCTGAGAAGCGATATATCAGCTTCGCTACATGATTTGTATCTGAGATTTTCGAGGGCTGTTCTGAATCTCTGGTCTTCATCGCACATTCCTTGTTGCCTCATGTTTGTCCTCAGGATTACTACATCTGTAACCATATGCCATAGAGCACGCCCAAAGAGTCTATTTTGCTTGTCTCGCGTCAATTTATCCTTTGTCGATGATAACGCGCTTGTATCCGTATACAGAGGCGTTCCTCCACCAGGTGGTTTCAGCTGGGCAAAATCTCCGGCAAAAATGACATTACACCCTCCGAAAGGCTTTGTTGGCTCCGATTTTGCAAGGCAAAGCTGGGTTGATATCTTGTGTAACTGTTCAGCGCTGACCATTGATACCTCATCTATCAAGAAGACGTCTGATCTACCAATTCGCTCTCGTATCTTTGTCAGCGTTGCAACCGACGAAGAACCAAATTCATCTCTTCCTATACCAAGCAATGACGCGTATGTTGAGCCTCCAACGTTTGCTGCGGCGCTACCCGTTGGTGCCATGATTATGAATCGATAGGCCTCGTTCCTTTCTTCAAAGAATGCGCTTATTGCTTTGAACACTTGAGACTTTCCTGTTCCGCCCATGCCACCAATGTACATAAGTAACTGTTTAGAGTCATCCAGACACCCACGCACAACACTCTGAAATGCCCTGCTCTGCTCTTCATTCAGCGAAAACCTCTCTATAATTCCACGTGCACAAGATTCAGATACTTCTTCTAATGAGGTAGGAACCGATCTCTGTTTTAGATCATGTATATCGAGAATAGATACTTTCCCATCGGAGTCCCCTGCAGGTATAGCTTTACTGCCTGAACAAATGGTTGTTTCAGTGTGTCCCGGCGGAACCAAGCTGGTACCGGAGCTGTGCTTTGCTGTCAACGCTTCCTGACGTTGGCTTTTCAACAATTCTGACCAGAACCTTCCGTTCAGATTTTCCGGCGGTTCAAAGCGTAGTGGTAGATGTGGAATCACATTAGTATTGAGTGGATTAAACCACCTATGTCTTTCGAGTACGCGCTGCATATCATTCATGTTGTTCTGCACTTCAATAGTTGGTTGTATATCATCAGATAGGAACGGAAGAGCGCTTTCTTCCGTCATGTTATCGATATCCACTTTTTTCCAAATTTCTTCGTCTAAGGGTACATCCGTAGCTCTCCCAAGAATTCCTGCTATATTTGAGCGCTCTGGGCCTCCAAAACTCTTAGAGAAGTCGTCCCTGTCATCATAGCATTCATAAAGCACATTGAAGTTATCCATCATCCTCCGATGTGCCTCATGTAGTGTTGGCTCAATCCTTCTGAAGGCATCGTCCCAAGATTCATCGTCTGTTTTGATATCTGTCTTTGTGTACCATCCTGGGTAGAAAAACGCCAACATGCATTGACAATAAAACTCGCGATCTCCCTTGTCTCTCCTTGGGAGATATTCCATGAAGTTCAGTACACATGGATCATTTATATCTCGCTCGTAAATTGCATGTGTATCATGTTGTACATGTCCTGGAGCGAGCCTATATCGTTTTATGCGCCTACGTTGATTATTATCCATGTCACCTGAAGTATGCTCGGAACTTGACATCGCCGTATTATCTGCACTGGTGAGTTTCTTTTTGTATGTCTTCTTCATGTAATCGATAAGGCACCAATTGCGATATCTGCTTGGTCGATGGATCCAATCATGTGAGTAAGCTAGCTCTACTACAGAGCCTTTGATATTATCTATCATAACCGCATCATCGCCATCTACTTGTGCCTGAAGCTCATCATCACTTCGGAGGACTGTATCCGATAGTAATGCAACGTAACCTTTCCAGTAAAATACTCGGAAGGTGCGATTGGTGTAGTGATCCGGAAATCCCAAGAGATATTGTGCAACAAATGGTGCACCAATTTCGTGTTTCGCAGTCAAAGAGTTAACAATTTTTACTATCATCTTGCGTGCAGCTGTTTCATCTATTCCATTGTAGTTAATTATCTCAGATGACTTATTTAATACCATCTTCACCGCGTCAAATGCAGCATGTGTCTTCAAACTCATCTTAGTGACATAGTCAGTGATATACGCTATTATGACCCTTAATTGTGTACCTGATTGCATTGATACAACGTCAGTGTTACATCTCATCAGATATGTGAGAACATTATTGTAGTTGTTCATCCACGGCTCTTTGTGTTTTACGTGTATTACCCCATCAGAAGTGTCCACCTCTGTGATTTGACGGACGTCTCTGGGGAATCTGGCACGGCAACGACCTGACGATGTCATGCATCCATAACCGTGGTTCGGGTTATGGCGGTTAGATAGGTAGGCTATCTTATCAGAATCTATACATAGTTGATGATACCACTGATCAAGCTGTGAATCTGTCATATCACAAGCCGGGACATCAGGTAATACACTTAAGATACCACCATTACTACGATCGTCATATGATGCTTGTTCATCCAAGGCATGAGGGATCTGCTTGAACTTATTTCCAATCTCAGACTCGGTCCCAGTAGAGAACTGACCTTGATAGATCGAGTCAAGCCACGCAACCATTTGATCTCTGAACTCTTGATCTTCGGACTTCAATCGGTCACGGAGCTCTTGCGGGGAGAGGGAACCTTTGATCCATATTAAGCAATGCAGATGTAGAGTAAGGCGCCCCTGCGCTTCCACGGTACCGTAGTATGCCTGTGTGTCACCAAATAGACCCCCACTAGATTGTGGACGAAGTAACTTGTTAATAAATAGATTCACCATCAGGTTAAAGAACCTTGCACAAGCAACTGGATTGTCAGCGATCATTCTGAGCCTATCGCCTGCATCTGGAACAGAAATTGAAACATTGTCCATGTCCACACTTCCATCACATAGATATAAACATACAGGATTCTTGAAGTCCACAGGGGAAAATGTAACGAATAGAGCGAATGCACCTTCGTCATACATCAACGCTTTGATCTCTGACCGCAACCTTCGCCGTATTGTACTGGATCCGTTAACGTGGCCAGAAACATACTCAAGATCCCGTAATATATTGAAGCAATCTTGTTCTGCCGGTGTCTCCGGTTTAACAAAGGCACCTTCATTCCCTCTCCGGATAAGATCATCTAAAGCATTGATATCTAATTTTTTGATCTTCTCCGGAAGATGTTTCATGTTCCTACGCTTTGTCATGAGATATCCAGCCATGGATGCTTGTCTAATTTGTTCCTGATTGAAAACGACGAACTCGAAATACTCGTCAGTTTGAAACCTCTTGTCATAATACATCAGCATCCATCGAGCATGAAGCTCTCGAGATGGTGCTAGATTTGATCTGATAAATTCATTGCTAAATCCTCCCAAGCCATATGGGAACAACCATGGAAACATGGCTGGAAAATATTTAGGATTACCATAAATAGACATCGGTTGTTGCCCTGTCCCAATTGCGAGTACCTTGTTTCCCGAGTATAGATGTTGGAGAGCTACTTGCTTTCTCTGCTCCATTGACATCTGCGCCAAGTCTGCACCCATAAGACCATGAACCGTAAAAGGACATCGGCCATCTTCGACAGCAGCGTCATCGCTGTCTTCATAAACCGCCATATTGTGTGGCTCTGCAGTGTCTTCAGTTGAGAGGTGAGATATGTGAACCGGAGGCAATGTATCGGAATATTGCTTTAAATTATCAAGTGAAACGGTCACATCCGCGTAATCAGAGTGATTAGCTTTTAACCATGAGAGTGCCTCGTAGACTTCTTTTTGACGAACTAGAAACGGTACCCTTTTGAAGTCAGATGAAACTGGAGCAGTTGGACCAGTCCACATGATTGCAAGAACATCGTCCAGATCCTCTCGAGGTGGAGGTAACACCCGATATATTTTTACCACTGGCTGAGGGAATACTACCGCGTTCGCTCGCATCTTACGTTGGCCCATTCGAACTGAGATAACACATAGGTTGTGTCGATACTTCGCTACCAACAACTTCTCAACAAAATTCAAACGAGATAGCTCTACCGGAACATCACCAAGCCACATCCCGTTTGCTAACGATAGCTTAGGACAACGACGTTTCTCTATAACAGACTTGTGACATTCAGGACACATCTTCACCATCAGATGTTTCGTTATCTCTGAGATATATGTACCCGCCTGGCACAATATAGGCTCTCGAGGTGTTTTTCCCATTGAAACGGCAAATTGTTCATGGATTAAGCACTCGAGGTTGCTAATATCTGCATCTACATCCACCATTGAATTGACTGTTGACAATCTAGCGCATACTCCACACGCACTCTCTTTAAGGCCTTCTTTAGAAACCATGCTAGCGAAGTCGTATACAAGATTCTTCAAAGTGGAAGCCGAGTGAGGCTTTGGAGGGTATCGGCTAGTTTGTGACTCTGGTTTGACTATCGCCAGAGATTCTGCAGGCAAAAGCCCACGAGCAACCAAAGGGGGAGGAGGAACCGAGGAAACTCCCACATTCGGTATCGTAACACAGGGTGAGTCCGGTGCTCGCTCAAAAACCGATACTGTACGCCTGCATAACGTCGTACATGTATGTTCCGCCAGCAAACCCTTTATCTCTTGGAATGTACGAGTAGTTCTCGGGCAACGAATACCATGATCTCCCATCATATTGTATAATGACGCGAGAGAAACAAAATACGGGAGATCACACAGCGGTATGACAAATGCTCGCACTTCTTTATCGATAAGTTCTCCTCCTGTTGTCGGGACAACTAAATCTCTCATTGTGTATTGTCTTACGTATATAAGTCTTAGATGCTCCGGTGAATCAGCAAGTTTCGGGCCGTAAACTTGGGGATACGCGTATAGCTGACGTGGATATGTCACATGATATGTACGTCCACCTCCGCGTAATGCTCCAACCTTGCCATGGTGGACAGCAATAGTGCGCATGCCTTTGTGCCTCAAGGACTTCGAGTATCTGCCAATACGTACGCAGACTAACCACATAATCACACACACGAGGTACAGATAAACCGGTAGTGGCGCAAGCACTTCGTTCTTCTCCTCACAGGGGATTACACCTTCGGGCAGCGGAACAGCAGGTCCTATGATACAGTGTGGATCCTATAACACAAGAGCCACGTTATTAGCAAATCTTGTTGATACTGGATATTGAACGTACCTCATTCAAGTTGAGGAAGTGTGATAATGGGAGTAGCAGACTATGGAAAGGGGTTCCTGGCTTGTTGGGAACCGGAGTATGGAGCACCCTTTGTGAAAGAAAGTGATCAAAACTGGTGAGCCACATATTAATTGCAACGGATGGACTATACATGAGTGGAAGATATGAGCGATGTGGGACGTTTAAGGGATGGATGGTAGAGTGTCGTTGACGCGTCTGAACAAGTTATTGGGCTGACGTGATATATCACAGTGGTGCCACTGACTCCACAATCACGTGATCGACAGACACTGTAGCCAGGTGTTAACCCTTGTAAGGTCATGATACGAAAAACAAACGTAAACCAGGTAGCGAATTAAATCTCTAGATAAATGCATGTGGGTCATACGAACCCTCGGAGATAACGTTGCTTACACGTCCGCTTACCGGTGTCACCCTCGAAACCATTTACGTAGAGAAACGGGCATACTGATGACTTCTTCGGCAAGAGTTCGGCCAACCAATCACGGGATGTCACGTCGCAGGAACTCATAAGTAACTACGCACTTGTCCCCTGTCCTTCATCTCTCGTCAAAAAAACTCAACAACCCACGTATTCACTACACGTATCTCCGTCATCATGGTCGTTCTCATAACCTCCGATGATGAGCGAATCGTTGTGGAGGATGATATTGCCAAACGATCGGGACTGATCAGGGATTTGCTTGCCGCGCCTTGGGATCCCAAGGACGGAGATCGTGAATATATGGGTATTGAGCTCCCAATCGTGTCCTCAGACGTACTCAAGAAGGTACGCCATCATATGTATACATGTTTGTTTCATCCTAACGTGAGCTAGATCCTGGAGTACTGCGAGCATCACAAGGAAGAGCCTTTCGACGATACCTACGAGTCAGAGGATATGTTTGCTGATATCGATGAATGGGACCTTAACTTCATCACCGCTGATCCGCATATGGCGTTTGAGATCGTCCTCGCCGCAAACTACCTCGAGATTCCGCCTCTTGTGTGAGTTGTTATCTCTACAGTCACGAATCATATTCTAAGGCAATTTTCCTACATGTAGCTCTCTCGGAAGCAAGGCTGTTGCAAACATGATGAGGGGCAAGGATGCTGAAGAGATTTGCGATATGTTCAACATTGAGAAAGACTTTGAGCCTGGAGTAGAGGTCTGTTCTCATGTCTTGCAAGATAACGTCGTACCAATAACATCATGTTCACTCCAGGAGAGTATCGCAAAGGAGAATGTGTGTTATTTTCGAAGTTCTAACGCTAAGGCGCGAATCATGACTAACCTCCATACAGGAATGGGCCAGGGATCAATGAAGGAGCTCGTCGTTAGATTCCTTGCCTCCCTGTATCGTTGCGTCTGTGTAACTAGTACTTAACTTGTCTGATTACGACACCTTGATCGCTACCATTCAACCTGGCTTCGTCTTTCATCGATAGTTTTCGTGTAGCCTGAGTGAAGCTCTTCTGCAACCGGAGAGTCAGAGATATTTGTTGGAGTACCAACAAGTTCGACATTCGCCACGTATTTTTTCCGCAGCAGTCACGCACGTTGCCACGAGTTTGTCTCCCCTCTCCCAGCTTCGTCACAGTCAACATCTTTATCGTTGGCGCAACCTCTGCTAAACACTCAACAACGTATTGGAAGAGGTCAACGCAAAGTAACAACACGTCAAACGGTCCGGAAGTTAGTTGATTATCTACAATATATGTTCTGCACTTGTCTCGTCGCACCTTCCTCATATTCTTGTTTTCTTGCTTCTACTCACTGCTGTCCATCTAACTACTGCATTAATTGCCTAGAGAATCCCGCAGTCGTTGGCCATGACTACCGTAATTGATCCCTCAACGACTCAATCCCAGATGGACGTAGTTGGAAGCGTATACGAGCACCCGACGCTGGTCAAGTACGTCGATGATCATCCGGGAAAGACCATCTACAAGATTGGTCCGTATCTTCTCCTCCGCGACATTGGAAGAGGCGAGTTCGGGAAAGTCAAGCTTGGTCTTCACAAACATAAGGGAGATGGGGCGAGGAGGTTGCGGTGAAACTCGTCAATTGGAAGAGTCCCGCGCAGATGGTTAAGATCGAACGCGAGATTGAGGTTATTCGGGTGCGCGATGCCAACGCTGTTTTGACACTACCTGATCCCCTACTAACTTCGGGATGTTATCATTTAGGCGCTTAAACACCCCAATATCGTTCTTTTAAACGATGTGATTCGTGTGAAAGGAGGTACCGGAATCGTCCTTGAATACGCCCCAGGTGGTGAACTGTTCGATTACGTTTACGCAAATCGTCACCTCGGAGAAGAAAGCGCATGCAAGATCTTTTCTCAGCTCATTTCAGGAGTGTGGTATATACACCAGAAGAACATAGCACACCGCGATCTCAAACTCGAAAACTTGCTCCTCGACCGACACCAGAACCTCATTATCACGGACTTTGGATTCGCGAAGGGCTTTGCGCACAGTAAAGACGGTCTGATGCAGACACACTGTGGATCTCCCTGCTACGCCGCCCCGGAGTTGATTATCAACAAGGGCTCCTATGTCGGAACCTCAGTTGATGTTTGGTCCTGCGGCGTAATTCTCTATACCATTCTAGCCGGGTACCTCCCCTTCGACGACGATCCCATGAACCCTGGAATCGATGATATCCCTCGTTTCTATCACTACATGATATCCACACCTCTTTCCTTTCCAAATCATATCTCTGAAACTCCCCGCGACTTGATCAGCGTCATGCTCATCTGTGATCCGCAAAATCGCGCCAATCTTCGTCGAGTTATGGAACATCCCTGGCTTTCTCCGTGGCGGAAATTCTTAGAGAAAAGCGTAGAAGAGCTCGAGCTTATGGCAACGGAACGAGTACAAGCAAAGTCCTTTGAGTACGAGCAGCAACTCAAAGAGGAATATCAGAAACAGGTTCAAGCCAAGGAGAAGTAGATAACAATTCAACACACACACCAGAGCAAGGGTGATTTGAACCCGCATATGCCATTCGAAAATCCATATAGACCAATAGTTAGCATGTAGATAACGCGCTAGATACCTGCTTTGGATCATGTCGCAATTTGATAGAAAGTTGAACACGTACAAATTGTGTTTTCGATGTGACCAAGGTCGCGATTCAATACTTGAGTTAACTAGCCAGCCTTTAGCTTCAGTCGACCCTGTATTGCAATATAACTGCTATAAATATCCTCAATAGAAGGATGCAAGATGCGAACACAATTATCATATAACGCAACGTTGCGTAAGAATACATCTCGTAACATGTCGTAATTATTCATGAGTACAGATATGCCTCTTCATTCGCTAATTCTCGCACAACACAACTACGTAGACGATATTGAAACTCAGTCGGACATCGACAGAGTGTGTAGCTCCGTTTCCAGGGCTCTTCCAGCGATTGATGGCATACCCGACCATTACAATCATGTTGTCAGACACGCCGCCCTCATACCGTGGCAAGACGTTAGGATTAAAGTCGGCCCCGTCGAGAACCACAGCATCGAGGTTGGTACCGTCGAAGATAGGTACTGGTAAAATTAATCGGGATCAGTGCCAGCGAGTAACAAGACAATTCATCCTGTACCCTGTTCGGAATACCCCAAAGAGACCTTGCTCGGAATCCATCTAGCAGGAGTAGGTGCAAGAGCACTTCTGGCGACCTTCAACTTCGAAGATCTGTGCCGACTTTCTCTGGGTCTACTGGGAGCTATCTGTTGTATCAGACCTAGACATCCTGGCATCGAGAGATAAACTATCACACCTCCGGGTCGTGTGTTGAATTCCAATTCACCCACATCGTACGATGTTCGTACTGAAATATTCAGTATTATATAAGACAGTAGGAGCAATCGACGTACCGTAGTCATCATCATCTCCAGTGATCATCAACATGAACGAGAACTGGCGGTTGAACTCGTATGCTAATGCAGTAATCGAGATTCCACGCATGTACTTGTCGGTGTTTGCAAGCTGCTTCCCGTCTCCGGTTAGGTAGGAGTTCCCAACAACACCAACGTTCACAAAAACAGATGGCTTGTCCTTATACCCAATATACTCGCTCGTGCCCGCTTTGACAACGCTATACCCAGAAGGATCTAGACGCGCAGGATTGCCACATTTTGACGTGCCTTTGGACGTGATGATGCGCTTTAGAGACCTAGTACACGATTCTATGTCAGTTGAAATCGAGGTACAAGACAAGGAATCATATCTGTACTCGAGATCTACATTCCAATTCTTGAAATCCTTGAAAAGCATCAACCCAGGATCTTCGGGATCCTCGATTTTGTATCTGTGTAGACTAAAATCTAGTCAGCATAATATATAACACTATTGATAGTTTTACGTACCTGAGAGGAGGTAGATTGCGGACAGACATCTCCAACTCCGGCGATAAGAGACCACAGTCGTGGTATTCTTTCCATACTTCGCACTCAGCGGTTCTATCTTCCGTTTGACTATGAAATTATCCGATTATATTCCAAGCTTATAGAACACAGAAGAAGTGACATACTTTGACAATATATCAAGCTTATCCGAAGCCTTGATAGATCTTCGATGAAGTTAGTACGTTGAAACACATGAAAATAGTAGACACATATTAGCTTACTTATCTTCTTGCGTATCATCACTCGAAAGATTTCGTGTACTGTTAACGGGCAAAAATGAGCGATCATCATGACAATACACTGTATTGGCTGCGAACCTCCCAGACGCTGTATTCTGCGAGCTATATCCAAGCATAAGCACCTATCACGCTTTG